AACTTAAAGAGGGACTCATGGGATTTACAGCTGCTTGGTCAGAAAGACAAGTGGCCCAGAAATTAAGACTGGCATCTGAATGGGGGCAATCTTGTGGGACTGAGTCCCCTTAACTTGTAAGATCTGATGCTAACTCTAGGAAGATAATGTCAGAATTGAATTGAATTGAATTGAACACCCAATTGATGTCTGGAGAATTGGCTGGTGTCAGAAAACAACCAGAAAAGAGACAGAACACGCTCATCATTACAAAAAGTTCTACTGGACAACTCTATGTTGGGGGGGGAATCTAGTTTAGATTTGAATACTAGGAAAGGATCTTCAATTCAGTAGTGGCTAAAGAATTCTGAGAACAGAAGTCTGGGAAACTAACTCAAATTAGAGTCCACCTTCCTGAATCAAAGATGTTACGATCTAATCAGACCATCATTTCCTAATTCAATCCTTTCAGGGTGAGATTTAATAATCTTTCCTCTTTACAGGCAGAAAAGCTAAGATACACTGTAAGTCAATTGCTCAAGTTATCCAATAAACCTACAGAAGATCCCACCTAATTATTTAGCTCCCTGAGCTTTCCCTCCGAGGCTTATCTCAGCACAGCTGAGATTCAGCTGCTAGACTGAATCTGCTAGACTGACAGATTCACTTGTCAGCTGTCAGCCACAATCAGAGGCATCACCTGATAGTATATGGATACAAGCGAGTTGAAGACTACTAACTCCAGGAAGGCCACAGGCCTTTAATCCCCTCCCAGTGCCCAAAGTGTCACATAAATGGCCAATAAGAATGGGATTTCCAAGCCAGGCTCGGTGGCTCAGCCTGTAATCCCACGCCTTGGGAGGCTGAAATGAGTGGATTGCCTGAGCCCGCGGGTTCAAGACCCACCTGGGCAACTTAGCGAGACCTCATCCCTACAATAAATTAAAAAAAAAAAAATTAGCCGGGCATGGTAGCACGCGCCTGTAATTCCAGCTACTTGGAAGGCTGAGGCGGAAGGATTGCCGGAGCCCAGCAGGTTGAGGCTGTGGTGGCAGGGAGCGTGCCACTGCACTCCAGCCTGGGCGCCAGAGTGAGACTTCAACTCAAAAAAAAAAATGAATGGGATTTCCAGGCACTGGTGCCATGGCAAGCACACTAATAAGAAAATCTGTCCTCAAACAGAAAGAGGTGCATGCACTATGGGGTAGGGATGAGTTCCACCTCATTAAATCCCAGTCAACATAAAATGAGAAACTTGATTACAGACTGCTGACTGCCAACTTGAAAACAACTGGTAAGCCATTCCTAACGCAAAGGTGCAATTTGCAGAACAGTAGTCTCCAAGGCTACAGGCATGGCTTTATTATCCAAAGATTAGCTGTTGGGCTTTTTAAATAAAAAAACTTAAAAAGGAAAAAACATACATAAAGGAATACATATAAATGCTTTAAAAGGGTGGAGGAGGGGCATGCTATACAAACTCTTCTGCAGCATATTTTAAATTTTTCATCTTGGACATCTTTCCCTGTAATTTTTTTTGAGTTGAAGTCTCACTCTGTCACCCAAGCTGGAATGCAGTGGCACGTTCATAGCTCAGGAGATGCTTCTGCCTCAGCCTTCCAAGTAGCGGGAACTACAGGCAAGAGCCACCACACCCAGCTAATTTTTTGATTTATTGTAGAGATGAGGACTTACCAAGTTGCCCAGGTTGGTCTCAAACACCTGTACTCAGGCAATCCTCTTGACTTGGCCTCCCAAAGTGCTGGGATTACAGGCCTGAGCCACTGTACCTGGCCTTGTGTTTTTAAATATAGAGACAGGGTCTCACTCTGTTGCTCAGGTTTGAGTACAGTGGCATGATCATAGCTCACTATAGACTCTTTCTCGCTATGTCACCCATGCTGGTCTTGAACTCCTGGCCTCAAATGATCCTCCTGCCTCAGCTTCCCAAGTAGCCAGGATTATAGGCATTCACCACCACTCCAGGTTCATTTTAGTAAACTAATTATCTACCCTGTTTCATTTATTCTAAGATGCACTTTCTTTTCCTCTTACTTTTAACACCTCTAAAATTAGAATGTGTCTTATAATCAATGGTATCTTACAAATGCTATCAGTCAGATAGCAGTGTGATGGAATTGTGTGAAAAACCTTTCACTGCTTCTTTCTAGTAAAATTAAGCATCAGTGTTTTAGAACTACAGTTAGCATTCCTTTTAACACCTGCATAGTCCATAGCACAGATGTACATAATTTATCTAATTCTCTACTGTACACTAAATTCCCGGAAGAATTACTGGATTAAAAGATAAGTACATTAAATATGTTAATAAGCACTACCAATGTCTGTGACAATTTATGCCCCTTGATAGAGAATAAAAATGCTCATTTCCAACACTGGATAGTAATAGCGATCCTTTAAAATATTCATTAACCTCAAAAATTTTAGGAGTGTTTTATTTATTTATTTATTTTTATTTTTATTTTTTTGAGTTGAAGTCCCACTCTGCCGCCCAGACTGGAGGTGCAATGGCCGCTCCCGGCCACCGCAACCTCGACCTGCTGGGCTCCGGCGATCCTTCCACTCAGCCTTCCAAGTAGCTGGAATTACAGGTGCACGCTACTACACCCGGTTAATTTTTTAATTTATTGTAGAGATGAGGTCTCGCCAAGTTGCCCAGGCGGGTCTCGAACCCGCGGGCTCAGGCAATCCACTCACCTTGGCCTCCCAAAAGCTCAGAATTACAGGCTGAGCCACCGAGCCTGGCCTAGGAGTGCTTTAAAAAACTTTTTAAAGTTTTTGAAATAACTGTAGATTCATATACACTGAAATACACATATTTGCATATTTACCCAGTTTTCTCCAATGGTAACATTTTGCAAAACTATAGTACACGATCAAAAACAGGATGCTGGCATTGATACTATGGTATAAGAAATATATATTTGGTCTTTGTCACTAGCTCCTAGTACAGAGTATCTTATACCCTTGGAAATTCCTGAGTGATAGGTGCATCTTCTGTTATTCACAAGTCCCCTTTCCAGGGTCAAGATTCCAGGAAAAGAGACTGGAAATTGAGCTCAATCACTAATGGCTAATGATTTAATCAATCATGCCTGTGTAACAGAGTCTCTATAATCCTCCCCCACCCCGCAAGCAATAGAATTTGGAGAGTTGGTGAACATATCCATGTGCCAGGAAGGTGGCACACCCAACTCCACAGGTACAGAAGATCTATGCTCAGAACTCTTCCGGCCTCACTCTGTGTACCTTCTCATCCAATTGTTCATTTTTATTATTTATATTAAGTATAGCATTTTTCTGAGCTCTGTGAGTTATTCTGGCAAATTACCCACCCTGGGGGCAGGATATGGGAACCCCTAAAACTGTAGCCAAGTCAGACAGAAGTGTGGATAACCTTAGAACTTGATACTTGGGACTGGCATCTGAAGTGAGGGCAGTTTTGTAGGACTGAGCTCTTAAATCCGTGGAATCTGACACTAAATACCTAAGACATCTAGTTGACACTAAACTACCTTAGACATCTAGTTGATGTTGGAGAATCGAAGAACTGAAGAACTGGTAGTTGAAGGAAAAAATAACCCACCAGATCTTGTTCAGATTTCCCCAGTTTTATTTATAGTCATTTGTGTTTGTGCATGTACCTGTATGTATTTAGTTCCATGTAATTTTACCACATGTATAAGTTCATGCATCCACCACCACAGTCAAGATACAGAAGAAGGCAGGGTACAGTGACTCAGTGCTTTGGGAGACTGAGATGAGAGGATTGCTTGAGCCCAGGAGTTCGAGTGTAGCCTGGGCAACATAGTGAGACCCTGACTCTACAAAAACATTAGCCAGGTGTGGTGGTATGTCCCAGCTACTCAGGAGGCTGAGTTAGAAGGACTGCCTGAGTCCAGGAAGTCAAGACTGCGCTAAGCCATGATCATGCCAAATACACTCCATCCTGGGAAACAGAGACAGACCCCCAACTAAAAAAAGCAAACAAACCTGTCTTTTCTCTTTAACACAATTGTTTTAAGAAATAAGTAAGATTACAGATGTGAAAGGGAAAGTCACACTTTATATTAGCTGAGACTGAGGCTTCCAATCCTAATACAGAGAACTTTAATAATTTGGGATGGATCATGTAGGGCATTACTTATTCCTAAATGTTCAACAGATGCCTATATGTTTATTAATAGAAAATGTAAAACATTATATATATGTATTATATATATATATATGTATTTGTACCGGTTATAATATTATTTCTTTTTTTTTTTTTTACTTGGAAGGCTGAGGCAGAAGGATCACCGGAGACTAGCAGATAATATTATTTCTATTCCATGTGCCATATACTAGTAAACTCACATCAGCCTCAGAGAGAAGCTTGCCCTCCCCAAAATCCTATGTCCACAGAGGTCTAATGACTTGCCTAGGGTTGCAGGTGAAGTCTAGGGAGCAGCTGCTTTTAGAAGTGAACCCAATTAGTTATATCCTAGTTCACCTCCCAAGTCAGAGAGCACCATTAACTTCTTTTTTTTTTTGGAAATTGGAGTTTTACTCTGTCGCCCAGACTGGAGTGCAGTCCCAGCCATTGTAGCTTCGCCCTGCTGGGCTCCAGCAATCCTTCCACCTCAGCCTTCCAAGTAGCTGGAACTACAGGCACACACTACCATGCCCAGCTAATTTTTGATTTATTATAGAGACGAGGTCTTGCCAAGTTGCCCAGGCGGGACTCAAACCCGTGGGCTCAGGCAATCCACTTACCTCAGCCTCCCAAAGTGCTGGGATTATACGCTGAGCCACCGAGCCCAGCCAACCATTAACTTCTAAGTTAAGACCTGTCTGCTAAAAATGAACTGTCATCACTTGTCTGTATTCACAGCTATACACTAAAAACAAAACAAACAAAAAACTTCTGTCTGAAAAATGTAGAGCCTATAACTTAGTATGTTGTGGGGGTGACACCAGAGAGTGGAATGGGATAGCTGAATTCCAAGTTATAGGAATACCTTGCTTCCGACAGCCTGGGATTTTGATAAAGGCTCCATAGTCTGTCACCATAGCAACCTAAAATGAAAAAAAAAAAAATCAATGTCACACAAATGAGAATCTTTCTTCCATAGAATATAACCTAGTCTCTTCAAATTTCTACTTGGTATTGATTGCCTCTGTCTGCTACAAAACTGCCAAAAATGATGCTTTGTCAAACATCCTTTCTGTTCTTTTTGAAATTTAGGGTGACAGGTATGTGTGTACACATTAAAAACATTGGTGAGATTCAAGTGTTGTCACTTGCTGTGATGGTACTGAGGAATACCCAAATCCCATACCTATTAAAATCACCAAAGGAGCTTCATGAACAAAAGGAATATACAGTAGAAAACCAGGTATTGATATACAGCAAAAAATCAGGTATTGATATCAGCAAAGGAACTTCATAAACAAAAGGAACTAACAGCAAAAAACAAGGTAATAAAGTTACACTTTATATTAGCTGAGACTGAGGCTTCCAATCCCAATACAGAGAACTTTAATAATTTGGGATGGATCACGTAGGGCGTCCCTTATTCCAAAACTTCAAATCAAACCAGACCATGCAGCCTATTATATTTCATTCCAAATCTGAGTCTTGGGTTTTAGCAAGACAATTAGATAAAAAGTGAATACACAGCTGGGCTCGGTGGCTCAGCCTATAATCCTGCGCCTTTGGGAAGCTGAGGTGAGTGGATTGCCTGAGCCCGAGGGTTTGAGACCCACCTGGGCAGGTGAGACCTCATCTCTACAATAAATCAAAAAATCAGCCGGGCATGGTAATGCATGCCTGTAATTCCGGTTACTCGGAAGGCTGAGGCGGAAGGATCGCCGGAGCCCAGCAGGTCGAGGCTGCGGTGGCTGGGAGCGGCCACTGTACTCCAGTCTGGGCGACAGAGTGAGACTCCAACTCAAAAAAAAGTGAATACACAGACATCTGAAAGACCTGAAAAGATGTAATCAGAGAGAAAAAGAGTTGTCCCTAAGTATTTGCAGAGTTGATTAAAGATGTAGAAGTTAGAGGCTTGATGGCTCTATATAATAGGCTGCCAAGTCAGGCTCAGTGGCTCAGCCTGTAATCCCCGCGCTTTGGGAGGCCAAGGTGAGTGAATTGCCTGAGCCCGCGGGTTTGAGATCCACCTGGGCAACTTGGCGAGACCTCATCTCTACAATAAATCAAAAAATTAGCCAGGCGTGGTAGTGCGCGCCTATAGTTCCAGCTACTTGGAAGGCTGAGGCGGAAGGATCGCCAGAGCCCAGCAGGTCGAGGCTGTGGTGGCTGGGAGCAGTCACTGCACTCCAGTCTGGGCGACAGAGTGAGACTCCAACTCAAAAAAAACACACAAAAAAAAGGCTGCCAATAAATGTTAGTGATGAAAGGCCCAGAACCTTTAACAGATAAATCATTAACCTAGGTTCGAGCTTCCCCCTATATCTATAACCTAGCACACCCGATTCCATATCTGTGGACTGGGGTAATGTCACTACACACTGAATTTACCACGGAATTTATTATTTATAAAATACTCAATACAATCTTACTTATATAAACTTTAGTCTTTCAGTGCCTTTAAATAGTAGCTTCATCTTGGGCAATACTGTTTCACTTTCACCATACTAAAAAAAGAGGACTGAATAAGACAATCCCTGCTGCACTGCTATTCACTTATCTAAATACTAAATGCAAAGCATTATTCAAATTGCTTCACAGAATCCTCACGTCACTGTATGAAGTTGTCACCATTATTCCCATTTAATAGACGACAAAATGATGCATGAAGAAATTAAGTAATTTACTCAAGGTCCAAAGCTAAAAAATAGCAGAGCTGGAATTTGAACCCAGAGAGTTTTAACATTAGAGCCGGACAGGGGTTTTTTTAACTATAAAATTCTAATGACCAAAAGGCATGTGATATCGGATATCCTCTGCTTCAGGCAACAATTTTAGGAAGCATATACGAGGAGGGAGCCAAAACACCCAGAATTATCTTTTGGAGGGCCCCTTGTAGTACAGGCTTCCCCTGTGAAGTAAGTATTCTAGGAATCCATGCATCAGAGTACCAGCCAGTGTTGTTGTGAGAGACGATTTATGGAAAAAATATCCCGAGTTGTGGCAAACGGATGACTGGTTCTTCCACTATGACAATGTACACCACGCTGAGCGTTCAGCAATTTTTGAACAAAAATGGCATGACCTCCGGGCCCTACCCTCCCTATTCACCCTATCTCGCCCTGAGTGACTTTTTTTTGTTTCCCAGAATTAAACAAGTCCTCAAAGGGAAATATTTTGCCAATGTGGAAGAGGTGAAACAAAAAACAGCATTAGCACTAAAAGGCATCAAAACTAATGAGTTCACAAACTGTTTTGAGCAGTGGAAAAAGCATCTCCATAGGTGTGTATATCATCAAATGGAGAGTACTTTGAAGGTTATTAAAGTTTAAACATGTAAGAATAAATACACAATTTTTTAAGTTTTTTTTTTTTGAATTGGAGTCTCACTCTGTCACTCAGGCTGGAAGGCAGTAGCACTCTCCTGGCCACCACAGGCTCAACCTGCTGGGCTCAGGCAATCCTTCTGCCTCAGCCTTCCAAGTAGCTGGAACTACAGGTGCATGCCACTACATCCAGGTAATTTTTTTTTTTTTTTTTGTAGTGATAAGATCTCACCAAGTTGCCGTGGGTCTCAAACCCACAGGCTCTGGCAATCCTCTTACCTCAGCCTCCCAAAGTGCTGGGATTATAGGTGTGAGGCACCATGCCCAGCCAAGAATATACAATTTTTTTATAAATAAATTCTGGGGTTTTTTTTGGGTCCCTCTCATACAGTAAATTCCTATGTTGCAGATCAGGAGAAACGGTATAGGAGCAGATAGGCACTGTGGTGCACACTCCAAGTACCAGCTACTTGAGAGGCTAAGGTGGGAGGACCACATGAGACTAGTCTGGGCAACACAAAGAGATCCCATCACTAAAAAAAAAAAAAAAAAAAAAACCTCTTAAACATAAATAAATAAATAATTTTTAAAAAGCAGTATAGGTAAAGACAGAGCACAGGCTTTAGAGTGAAAGATGTAGCTTCTAGCCGGGCTCGGTGGCTCAGCCTGTAATCCCATGCCTTGGGAGGCTGAGGTGGGTGGATTGCCTGAGCCTGCGGGTTCGAGACCCGCCTGGGCAACTTGGTGAGACCTCATCTCTACAATAAATCAAAAAATTAGCCGGGCGTGGTAGCGTGCGCCTGTAGTTCCAGCTACTCGGAAGGCTGAGGTGGAAGGATCGCCAGAGCCCAGCAGGTTGAGGCTGCGGCGGCCGGGAGCAGCCACTACACTCCAGTCTGGGTGACAGAGTGAGACTACAACTAAAAAAAAAAAAAAAAAAAAAAAGAAAGATGTGGCTTCTAATTCCAGCTCTGCCATTTCCTGCCTGTGGGATCTTGAACACAACTTGCCTTTTGGGGTCTAATCTCCCATTGTATTCTCTTTGCTACAGCAAGATAACAAACAATGTACGTAAAGTGCCTGGCATTGGTATCTGGAACATAATGTACACTGAATAAACAATGCTTTTTGTAAATTACAGTCTAAGACACTGAAGCACAAAAAGATTAGTGGCTGGTAGAAAGGCATACAACTACCTTAGAAAAGAGCTAGGGACAGAACGTGGGTCCCTTGACTCCTTGGTCCAGGACCTTCTACTTCACCAAATATCATCACTACTCTCTTCAATGTTAGGATGGAAATAAAAACTTTCATTCTCTTCACTTTTCAATAAGGATACTGGAGAGAAGCACTTGAACTAACTCTCCAAGACAAAGCATGAAGAAGAATGGATTCTGAACCAAAAGTTCTAAACTCCTGTTTTATACTGATGAACATGCTATGCTAGGGTAGGGACCAGAGCATCCCAAAGAAATAGTACAATCACTCAGATACTTAAAAGCAAGGAAAAGTAGGAGCCAAAGGAACGAGATTAGAGATTAACTGATCCAATTCTGTCATTTTTCAAATGAAGAAAGTGAAGACCAGAGACACAAAGTGCTTCCCCAAGTTTACAAAGCAATTTGCTCTGTTTTTAAAAAGAGAGTCACGGCCGGGCTCGCTGGCTCAGCCTGTAATCCCACGCCTTTGGGAGGCTGAGGTGAGTGGATTGCCTGAGCCCGCAGGTTCGAGACCCGCCTGGGCAGCAAGACCTCATCTCTACAACAAATCAAAAAATCAGCCGGGCATGGTAGCGCATGCCTGTAATTCTGGCTACTCGGAAGGCTGAGATGGAAGGATCGCCAGAGCCCAGCAGGCGAGGCTGCAGTGGCCGGGAGCGGCCACTGCACTCCAGTCTGGGCGACTGAGTGAGACTCCAACTGAAAAAAAAAAAAAAAAAGAGAGTCACATAGCCGAGCATGGTGGTTCACTCATGTGATCCCAGCACTTTGGGAGGCTGAGGACAAAGGATTGCCTGAGCCCAGGAGTTTAAGACCAGACCGGGCAACTTGGCGAGACTTCATCTCTACAATAAATCAAAAAATTAGCCAGGTGTGGTGGTGTATGCCTGTGGTTCCAACTACTTGGAAGGCTGAAGTGAAAGGATCACCTGTGCCCAGCAGGTCGAGGATGCAGTGGCAATGAGTGTGCCACTGCACTCCAGCCTGGGTGACAGTGAGACTTTGACTCAAAAAAGAAAAAAAAAGAACAGAAAAGAAGGCCACATAAAAAAGACAAGTTTTTAAAGTTTCTTTAAAATAAAAGCAAATTCCTTCTTTCTGGACTGAGTGATGGCACTTCGACTGGCTTTTGTTCCAGTGTTCTAAAAAGAGGGCTGAAAAGTCTTATATTGTATAACAACATTATTAAAGAGTATAATAATCTAACAAATTTAAAAGTACCATCTGGAAATTGGAACCCAAATCACCTTGCTGTTGTAAATGAAGACAATCTCACTTTTCAATCCCAAAGCTCCAGTGCCACATTATAGTCTTTAGAGGTAATGTAACAGACCTTAATTTGGCCTCTCCCAAAAGGGAAGGTTAATGTGCTCCAGAATGAATGCACTCAACTGTTCAGTTAGGAAAAGGCATTCTTTCCTATTTCCAGCACCAGGTGTTTCCATCACTGTATCTCCTAGGGTGCAGTCAGAGTTGAATTAATAGGATGACACCTGCCATAGATAATCACATAGTTTGCCTAGTATCCCAAGAATAATTAGTCAAATTGCTCAGGGAAAAAAAATTCAGTAACTATCTCAACTTAATTCAAGACTTGGTAAAATGAATTTCCCATCTTCAAATTATAGGTGGCACTGGCCTTGAAACTTGTTATCTGTACAATGTAAATGAGGAATTTGAGGCTCAGAGACATAAGTTACTCATCCAAAGTCACAAAGTTAGAAAGTAGCACAGCCAGGTAAAGTACAACTATTTCTTTCTTTTTTTGTTTCTTTTTAAACTTCTAGTCCAATGCTATTTCTACCTTACCAACACCAATCTCTCCTCAGCATTTCTTTGGCAATGATAAGCCTAAACCAAATCCAAACTCCCATTGCTATGCTTACCATACCATGCTTAATGGACTCTGCCACCAAGATGCCTCTCAGAGGATGAGATAAGAATGAATATTGGTTTCTTTTTTTTTTTTTTTTGAGTTGGAGTCTCACTCTGTTGCCCAGGCTGGAGTGCAGAGGCAACCTCATAGACACCACAGCCTTGACCTGCTGGGCTCAAGCGATCCTTCTGCCTCAGGATTCTAAGTAGTTGGAACCACAGGCATGTGCCACCATGCCTGGCTGATTTTTTCATTTATTGTAGAGACAAGGTCGCGCCATATTGCTCAGGCTGGTCTCAAACATCTGCCTCCCAAAGTGCTGGGATTACAGGTGTGAGCTACCGTGCCCAGCAGCTTCTCAGCTATTTAATCATTGCACCCCACATCCCTGCTGAGCCCGCCAAGAGAAAAAGTGACAATCTCAAGGATTGCACAGTAAGTATAAGAGCAGGGACTTGAATCTGGATTCTGTCTCAATACAAAGCCTTGGCTCTGTAAACCAATACAATGCTTTCTCTCTCAAAAGTTCATCATTCATTCAGTCATCAAAAATGTATCAAGCACCTACTATTTCCTACCCATTCACCTAAGATTAAGATAAACAGATACACAACAAAATAGAAGTCTGTCTTCATAGAGCTTAGTGTCTTGTGAGGAAGACAGACATTAAAGCAATACATAATTAAATACAGAGTGAACTTATTTATTTATAATGGGTAAAAAAAAAATCTGAGGATACAACATTAGGACTGAGACTTAAAGGACAGACAAGATAGCCGGGCTCGGTGGCTCAGCCTGTAATCCCGTGCCTTTGGGAGGCTGAGGTGAGTGGATTGCCTGAGCCCGCGGGTTTGAGACCCGCCTGGGCAGTGAGACCTCATCTCTACAATAAATCAAAAAATCAGCCGGGCGTGGTAGCGCACGCCTGTAGTTCCAGCTACTTGGAAAGCTGAGGCGGAAGGATCGCCGGAGCCCAGCAGGTCGAGGCTGCGGTGGCTGGGAGCGGCCACTGCACTCCAGTCTGGGCGACAGAGTGAGACTCCAACTCAAAAAAGAAAAAAAGAGAAAAAAAAAGGATAGACAAGATGATGGAAAACTACAGTCTTATTCCATTCCTGCTGCTGTAACAAAATACCATAAATTGGATAATATACAATAGAAATGTATTTCTCACAGTTCTGGAGTCTGGAATGTGCAAGTTCAAGGTGCCAGCAGATTCGGTGTCTGATAAGGACTTGCTCTCTGCCTCCAAAATGGCACCTTGTTGCTATGTCCTCTGGAGGAGAAAAACACTGTGTACATACATGGCAGAAGGAATGGAAGGGCCAGGTAACTCTCTTCAGTCTTTTTTACAAGGGAACTGATAACATTCATGATGACAGAGCCCTTATGACTTAATCACTTCCCAATTAATACCTCTTAATACCACCATATTAGGAATTAAGGTTCAACATAAATTATAGAATTCTCCAAAATTCATGTTACACCTCAATCCCCAATGCAATGGTATCAAGAGGTGGGGCCTTTAGGAGGTGATTAGGACATGAGGGCTCTGCCCTCATGAATGGAGTAGAGCCTAATAAAAGGGTTTGAAGGGACAAGTTCATGCCTTCCATCCCTTCCATCATAAAAGGACACAGATTTGTTCCTTTCAGAGGATGCAGCACCAAGGTATAATCTTGGAAGCAGAGAGCAGCCCTTACCAGATACCAAATCTGCTGGCAACTTGATCTTAGATGTCCAAGCTTCCAGAACTATGAGAAATAAATTTCTGTTCTTTATAAATTATGCATCTCAGGTATTTTGTTACAGCAGCACAGACTAAAACAAACAGCATGTACAAAAGTCCTGAAAAGAAAGCAGGAGCTTAAAATACTCAGAACTGTAAGGAGGCCAGCATGTCTGAACTATGAGCAGGGTAGAACAAACAACACCGTCAGAGCAGATCAGAAAGAGGCTACAACAGAAGTAGGGGTCCCAGGCAGGGTGAGGTGGCTCACGCCTGTAATCCTAACACTTTGGGAGGCCAAGGTGCGAGGATCGTCCCATTAATTCATTCATGAATAAATTAGAACTTGGGAGGCCAAAGCGAGGAGACTGCTTGAGCCCAGGAGTTCAAGATCAGCTTGGACAACACAGCAAGAACTTGTCTCTACAAAAAATAGAATTAGCCAAGCATGGTGGGCACATGCCTATAGTCCCAGCTACTCAGAAAGGAGAGGTAGAAGGATCTCCCGAGCCCAGGAAATCAAGGCTGCAGTGAGCTGTGATCACACCACTGCCCTCTAGCCTGGGCGACAGAGTAAGACCCTGACACAAAAAAACAAAAACAAACAAGCCAGGCGAGGTGGTTCACACTTGTAATCCCAGCACTTTGGGAGGCAGAGGCAAGAGGACTGCCTGGGTCCAGAGGATTGAGACCAGCCTGGGCAACATGGCAAGACCTCGTCTCTACAACAAATAAAAAATTAGCCAGGCATGGTAGCACGTGACTATAGTTCCAGCTACATGGAAGGCTGAGGCAGAAGAAATCATCCAAACCAAGCAGGTTGAGGCTGTGGTGGCCATGAGTGTGCCACTGTACTCCAGCTTGGGTGACAGTGAGATTTGGACTCAAATTAGAGATGCTGTGAGGTATTCAAATGAAGACGTCAAGTATGTAATTAAATATCTGCATCATAGAGGTAGTCAGATGCTTCACTAGTACTTCACACTTAAACTGTAATGCTGAAGATACTCTCAAGTAGACAAGAGCATCAAACACAGTTGCTTTTCACACTCAATCTAATCTTAACATTAAAAGCACAAAAGAACATACCTCTCCTTGGAAAATAGTGTAGAGAGCAGGCAAGTTTTCCATGGTCTCAGGCCTTCCTGAATTCATCCTTAATGTTCTATGGTTCCTCCATTTCTCTTCCGCTGTATTAATTCAAATGTCCTGTTACAAAGAAATTAGACAGACAACAATTAGAGATATCTGCATTAAAGAAGAAATGAATATGCAGATAGCACACAGCTGGCCTCTACAAAATAATACCACAGGATTTAATACCATATACTTTTTTTTCTTTTTTGAGTTGGAGTCTCACTCTGTCGCCCAGACTGGAGTGCAGTGGCGGCTCCCAGCCATCGCAGGCTCGACCTGCTGGGCTCCGGTGATCCTTCTGCCTCAGTCTTCCAAGTAGCCGGAATTACAGGCATGTGCTACCATGCCTGGCTGATTTTTTGATTTATTGTAGAGACAAGGTCTTGCCAAGTTGTCTAGTCTGGTTTCGAACCCTTGAACTCAGACAATCCTCTAGCCTCAGCCTCCCAAAGAGTCGAGATTAAAGGTATGAGCCACCACGCCCAACCAATTCAAGTTTATTTATTTTTATTTATTTTGAGTTGGAGTCTCACTGTTGCCCAGGCTGGAGTGCAGTGGCACACTCACAACCACCGCAGCCTCAACCTACTAGGCTCAGGCGATCTTTCCACCTTAGCCTTTCAAGTAGTTGGAATTACAGGTGCGCACCACTACATCCAGCTTATTTTTTGATTTATTGTAGCGATGAGGTCTTATCAAGTTGCCCAGCTGGTCTCGAACCCCTGAGCTCTGACAATCCTCTTACCTTGGCCTTCCAAAGTGCTGGAATTATAGGCTTGAGCCATTATGCCTGGCCCACGTTTATTTTTAAAAAGTCAACTCTGAAATATCTATGTCACAGGCAGGCATGTGCCTCATGTTTGTAATCCCAACACTTTGAAATGGGAAGACTGCTTGAGCCCAGGAGTTTGGAACCTGCCTGAAAAACACAGCAAGACTCTGTCAATACAATGTTTTGTTTGTTTAGTTGGTTTTTTGAGTCAGGGTCTCACTCTTGCCTAGACTTGAATGCAGTGTGGCACAATCACAGCTCACTGTAGCCTCGACCTCCTGGGCTCAAGCAATCCTCCTGCCTCAGCCTCCTAAGTAACTGGAACTACAGACATGCATCACCAAGCTCAGCTAATTTTTTCCTATTTTTTGTAGAGACGGCATCTCATTTTGTTGCACAGGCTGCCCTCAAGAATCCTCCCACCTCGGCCTCCCAAAGTGCTAGGATTATAGGTGTAAGCCACCATGACTGACCTCTTTTTTTTTTTTGTTTGAGTCAGAGTCTCACTATGTTGCCCAGGTTGGAGTGCAGTGGCACACTCACGGCTACTACAGCCTCTACCTGCTGGGCTTGGGCAATCCTTCCACCTCAGCCTTCCAAGCACCTGGAACCACAGGCATGCACCACCATGCCCACCTAATTTTTTTATTTATTGTAGAGACGAGGTCTTGCTTAGTTGCCCAGGCTAGTCTCTAACCCTGGACTCAGGTAATCTTCTTGCCTCGGCCTCCCAAAGTGCTGGGATTACACAGCATTACAGGCTTGAGCCACCGTGTCCGGCCTTTTTTTTTTTTTTTAATTAGTCAGGCATGGCGGCATGTGCTTGTAGTCCTAGTTACTCAGGAGGCTGAGGCAGGAGGATCACTTAAGTCCAGAATTTCCAAGGCTATAGTGAGCTATGATAATGCTACTCGACTCTAGCCTGGGCAATAGAGAAAGACTCTATGTCTACAAAATAAAATAATGAAAAATAATGAAAAATATATGAGTCTGCAAAATATATGAGTCCGCCTCTAGAACAATCAACCAGATGTGAGCTTCCATACCAAGGGTGGGGTTAGTAGACCCCCAAAGAAACCAGAGATAGGGGAAATCCAACTCGGAGCAGCTGGGAGGGTAGGGGCCTCTTCTCAATAATTAGGCAGAGGTTGATTACTGCTGATTAACAGGTACCGTCCCACCCTTGGGGTTGGCCATGGTAGCATGGGGAAGTAGGTAAAAATTACTGGAGGGGTACCTACTATAATAGTGTATTCTGCTTTGATCCAGTTTACATATTAAGAGTCAATGTAAGACTTCATTTAGAAAAAAGAAGTTCTGCTACTTAAAAAAAGTGTGTAACACTGACATAGCTATAGTCCAATCAGATAGGACCATATACATACATTTAAAAGAGCCAGTAAATTGGCAAGGATTGAAATACACCATTTGGAATTGTCTTGCAGTAATTCTGAAAGGGCTTCATTTCACTTTAATGTTTTAAACAATTGTGTTATGTAGGGAAGCAACAGGAGACCAATTACTAGTCACTCTCTTCCCAAAACAAGGGTCAGAGCAAGGAAAGTGTGGAGTGGAAGTGGCACGTGCAGTGAGGCAAATGGTGGCCCAGAGTGAGGTCAAAGCCTATGTTAGATGAGGATGGAATCTATAAAGGGGACTACAGTGTTGGAAAGACTGGGGTGATGAGGGCACACACTGGAGCAACCTAGAATGAGTCAGAGCCTCAGTATGAAGAGGTGGGGCCTATGGATCAGAGAGGTAACACAATGTAAATTTTATGACTTAGTTATATTGTAGTTACGTAGGAGAATGTCCTTGTTTGCAGGAAAACTGAAGATGATGGGGCATCAGGTCAGCAATTTAACTCAAATAATTCTGGGGGAAAAATGTTATTTATACATACCTCCATAATTTTGTGATTGTTTCAAAAACACTTTTTAAGTGTGCATGCAATTGGAAAAAAAAAACTCACACATCCCATTCTCCCATCCCAAGCAACGAGAAGTTTAAAGAACAATATCAGATTGGCAAGATACCAGCCGGGTTTGGTGGCTTAGCCTGTAATCCCACGCCTTTGGGAGGCTGAGGTGAGTGGATTGCCTGAGCCCACGGGTTCACAACCCGCCTGGGCAGGCGAGACCTCATCTCTACAATAAATTAAAAAAAAAAAAAAAAAAATTAGCCAGGGGTGGTAGCGCACACCTGTAATTCCGGCTACTCGGAAGGCTGAGGCGGAAGGCTGAGGCGGAAGGATCGCCAGAGCCCAGCAGGTCGAGGCTGCGGTGGCTGGTAGCAGCCACTGCACTCCAGTCTGGGCGAGAGAGTAAGACTCCAACTCAAAAAAAAAAAAAAAAAAAGATTGGCAAGATACTTTACAGACTCTTTGGAACTTCATGATATGTCACCTTACTGATCTAGTCAAGATTTTTGTTGTTACTGTTTTTAAGTTTGTTTGGACTTAGACTTTTTGTTGTTGTTGTTACTTAACAATATTAATTGACTGGGACCCTAAGGGGGTTAAAGGAATTTTAATTTATGTTTAATCTGTGTTAGAACTGAGAGAAGAGTAAGCTAATTTAACATACTGGGATATGAACAAAGACAGAATAATAACTCCAGAGCCTGTATTCTTTTTAAAAAATTTTTTGCCTCATAGCCTTTTAGACAACAGAGACTGCATTCTTTTTTTTTTTTGAGTTGGAGTCTCACTTGTTGCCCAGACTGGAGTGCAGTGGCAAGCTCATAGTCATCACAGCCTTGACCTGCTGAGCTCAGGCGATCCTTCCACTTCGATCTCCCAAAGTGCTGGGATTACAGCTTGAGCCACCATGCCCAGTCCAAGACTGCATTTTTAACCACTATAATACACTGCCTCAAAAATAATTCATGGCAAGGTGCGGTGGTTCATGCCTGTATCTCAGCACTTTGGCATTACACTCCCTTCCATGAATGATTTCTTTCTGGTCCAAGAGTTTGAGACCAGCCTAGGCAAAATAGCAAGATGTCATTTCGCCAGGCGCGGAAGCTCAAGTCTGGAAACCCAGCACTTTGGGAGGCTGAGGAGAAAGGATTGCCTGAGCTCAGGGGTTAGAGACCAGTCTGGGCAACTTGGTAAGACCTCATCTCTACAATAAATCAAAAACTAAGCCAGATGTGGTAACACACACCTGTAGTTCCAGCTACTTGGAAGTCTGAGGAGGAAGGATCATCTGAGTCCAGCAGGTTGAGGATACAGTGGCCGTGAGCGTGCCACTGCACTCTAGCCTGGGCGACAGAGTGAGAATCCCATTTAAAAAAAAAAAAAAGATGGGAGGCTGAGGTGAGTGAACTGCCCAAGCCTGCAGATTCAAGACCCGCCCAGGCAACTTGGCAAGACCTCATCTCTACAATAAATTAAAAAATTAGTCGGGCTTGGTAGCACGCGCCTGTAGTTCTAGCTACTTGGAAGGCTGAGGCGGAAGGATTGCCAGAGCCCAGCAGGTCGAGGCTGCGGTGGCCAGAAGTGTGCCACTGTACTCCAGTCTGGGCAACAGAGTGAGACTCCAACTCAAAAAAAAAAGATGTCATTTCTACCAAAAAAAATTTACCAGGCGTGGTGGTGTGCACTTAAAGTCCCAGCTACTTGGAAGGCTGAGATGGAAGGATCTCCTGAGCCCAGGTGGTTGAGGCTGTGATGAGTTATGATCATGTCACTGCACTCTAGCCTAGGTGATAGAGTGAAACTCAGACTCAAAAATAAAAAGAATTCAGAGTCCATATCTAAATTTTGTAGAGTATGACTCTAACACTAACTATAACTCTAACACTAACATTAGAGGAATCAGTGAGTAGTCAGAAGGATGTCATTCATGGAAGAAGCTAGGATGAGCATGGTCTGGATCCATTCATCCAAACGAAACCAAGGAACATTTCTTATTTGGTTTTGTGTTCCCAGAGCCTGGTATACTACAGGTACTCAGTTTTGTTTGTTTGTTTATTTTAAAGATATGGGATACGATTCAAGATTAGGTATACAAGTGGTCATCATACAGGTAAAGTTTGGTCCTCCCTTTGGTCTCCACTTTGCCTAGCTTGAGATCAGGTACCCTTATTGATGTGGTGTGTTCCCCTTGTTTGTTTTTTTGAATAAGTGACTTGAACCTCACTATGTGCCAAACACAGGTAGAGGAAAAAAAGGGGAATACATACTGGTCTAAAGGATTCAAGAGAAGGAACTAGGTCCCCTGTAATATGCTGGACAGGTCAACAGATGAGAGGCTTTCAAATGCCAAACTGGTGACCTAATCTTTTTCCCTCCCACCAAATTTCTAGAGGGACCATGTTAGATAGATGCTTCTTCCTTTTGAACTTGTCAGGGACCTGTTGAGAAAATGGACAGGGCTGGAAGTAAAGGCTCACACCTGTAATCTCAGCACTCTGGAGGCTGAGAAGGATCACTTGAGCCCAGTACGTTAAGACCAGCCTGGGCAACATACTGAGAACCTATCTCCATAAAAAAATTAAACAATTGGCTGGGCATGATGGCACTCTGCTATAGTCCTAGCTACTTGGGAGGCTGAGGCAGGAGGATTTCTTAAGCCCAGAAGTTTGAGACTGCAGTGAGTCACAATCATGTCACTGCACACCAACCTGGGTGATACAGAGATCCTGTTCCTTTAAAAAAAAAAAAAAAAAAATTCCAGCACTTTGGGAGGCCAAGGTGAGAGGATTGCCTGAGTCCACAGGTTCAAGACCAGCCTAGGCAACACGATGAGACCTTGTCTCTACAATAACATAAAATTAGCCAGGCGTGGTAGTACACACACCTGAAGTTCCAGCTACTTGGAATGCTGAGGTGGAAGGATCACCAGAGCCCAGGAGGTCGATGCTGGGGTGGCCATGAGTATGCCACTGCACTCCAGCCTGGTTGACAGAGTGAGACTCCAACTCAAAAAAAAAAAAAAAAAAAAGAAAATGACACCTGTGCCTTAAGCAACAGTTTTCTCATTTGCAAAATGGGAATAATAATATCCATCTCTTCATGCCCTAACTCAAATTACGGAGATTGAAATCAAATCGTATTTATGGACATTTTTTCCCTCCCTTTCTGGATTGTGAAATTCATGCAAGCATGTCCCTGTTTTGCACATCATCATATCCTTCCTTCCCAAATCTACAGTGCACTCACAGAGCATCAATTCTGTAGTGAAAAAGAGAAGACAGACTGGACACATGGCCCATGCCTATAATTCCAACACTTTGAGAGGCCAAGGTGGGAGGACTGCTTGAGCCCAGGAGTTCTAGACCAGCTTAATCTACATAGCAAGACCTCATCTCTACAAAAAAAAAAAAAAATTAGTCATCTGATCTCAAACCAGGTGAAGTGGGAACCAAAATGAGGCCCAAACTTTACCTGCACAATCATCATTTGTATACCCAACCTTGAATTGTACCCTACATCTTTAAAAAAAAAAATTAGGCCGGGCTCAGTGGCTCAGCCTGTAATCCCAGCACTTTGGGAGGCCGAGGCGAGTGGATTGCCTGAGCCTGTGGGTTCAAGACCCACCTGGGCAAGTTGGCAAGACCTTGTCTCTATAATAAATCAAATAAAAACTAGCCGGACGTGGTAGTGCACACCTATAGTTCTGGCTACTTGGAAGGCTGAGGCAGAAGGATCGCTGGAGCCCAGCAGGTCGAGGCTGTAGTGGCCAGGAGCGTGCCACTGCACTCCACTCTGGGAGACAGAGTGAGACTCCAACTCAAAAAAAAAAAAATTAGTCAAGCTTGGTGGCGTGTGCATCCTAACTACTTGGGAGGCTGAGGCAGAAGGATCACCTGAGCCCAGCAGACTGAGGCTGTGATGAGCCATGATTGTGCCACTGCACTCTAGTCTGGGCCATAGAGTGAGACTCCAACTCACAACAAGGCGGGGGGCAAAATATGCAAATGAGAAAGGTAGTTTCAAATAGTGATAAGTGCTGTGAAGGAATACAGTGTAAAGCACATGGAAATTTACAACTATCTACTAAAATACTGAAGTATTTAACTTTACCCTATATAAACTATTAATTTACCGATTGAATTCAACATTTACCGATTTTATATGCAAAGTTCTGCACTAGGTACTTTATAAGCCTACTTTCTTTCTTATTCTTTTCTTTTTTTTGACTCTGAGTCTCACCCTGTTGCCCAGACTGGAGTATAGTCATACAATCATGGCTACTGCAGCCTCAACCTTCTAGGTTCAGGTGATTCTTCCACCTCAGCCTTCCAAGGAGCTGAACTACAAGTGTGCACCACCACACTCACCTAATTTTTTTTATTTATTGTAGAGACAAGGTCTCACCAAATTGCCCAGGCTGGTCTTGAACCCTTAGGCTCAGGCAATCCTCTTACCTCTGCCTCCCAAAGTGCTGGAATTCTCCTTCTCTTCAAAATCCTATCTTGAAAAATACTGTCTAGATTCACTGCCTCCATTTCCTTGCCTGATTCCTTGCCTCATCTCTGGTTTTTGGTACAATCACACCAACAAAATAACCCTTGTTAAGGTTACCATGACCTCCATGATAGAGCCAACAGATATTTTTCAATTCTCATGTTATTTAAATTCTAGGAGTTTCTATCATAAACCATTCTTTCACTTTTGAAACATTCTTCCAATCTTCCTCTCTAGCTTTCCTTCTGTTTCTCCTATAGCTTCATCCCCTGTTCTTCACATTAAATGTTAGAACTAGTCAAGGTTCTGACTGAGATGAACTTATGTACAACCTATGGCTCAATTATCACATATATTCCCCAATTTATGGTCCCAACACAAATCTCTCTTTCAAGCGCCAAAGTTATTTTTCAAACTGCCTCCTGGATCTCATGAATGCCACCCCCCCCACTAAAAAAAAACAAAAAACTCGGTCTCTAGTCATCTTCTGGTGTACCCTATCTCAGTGAATGGTAACACCATCTATTCAACTACCTAAGCCAGAAACCTGGGAATTATCTTTGAGTTCTCTCTCTTTACTCCTCTCTCTTTATTCAATCCCTCACCAAGTCCTACCCATTTTATGGTATATCTATCTCTAAAACCTGTCCCATTATCTGCAGTTCCACCAATAGGTGAGTCCTTGTTGACATCTCTGACCAGGATTACTGCATTCCCTCCTAAATGGTCTATATACATCCACTAGGGCACCCCTCACCTCAATCTGTTCACACCACTGAACCTGAGGGATCAAGTCCTCTCCTCCACAACACCGCACGGGGGGAAGGGCGCTCAATGATACACCATTTGCTTTAAAGTAGAAGCGGCAAAATCCCACAAGCTCTGACCGCCATCACATCCAGCTTCATCTTGGGCCATACTCCCCTTCATTCTCTTTGTCCCTGCCACATTAGCTCTTTGCGCTTTTAGTCACTTTCCTCCCAACGGCCCAAGGCCTCAGAACATGTTGCCCGTGTGAAGCGCTCTGCCTTCTCCTCCCCACCTGATGGATTAGAACCCTTTCTTTGGCTATCCGCTCAGGCACCTCTTCCTCAGAAAAGCCTTCCTGCCTATTTCAGGCACCCTTAGCATGAGGTATCTCTTCCAGTTAGCACTTCCCATTTATTAGTGAAATCACTGTTCGGCAGGTTCTCCCCACCAAGCTCAAGCTTCCTGAGATCGGGGACCGTGTTTGGTAGCGGGTGCCATTGTGTTTGGTTCACAATGGCTCCCCAGCGCTCTGCACAGTAAACATTAATTGCACGACTGAGGAAATAGCAGGTTCATTGGTATGAGTCTCAAATTTCTCAAACACACCGCGCCCTGGAAGAGGAGTCGGACATTTCCCTCAGCACCGTCTCTCTCAGGAGCACAGGGTGGGTCCTAATAAAAGACTGCAGCGTCAGTGGCAGAAACAAGTCAGTCTCCGCGGTCAAAGGGGGCACCGGTGGAGGCCGGGAGACACAGGCCTTTCTCCCTGGGAACGGCCGGCAATCAATTGGACACACCAAGCGCCGGTTGAAGGGAGGCGACGAGGGCCGCGGGCAGCCGCGGGGACTGGGTCTTGCCGCCAGAGACCCCAAAGCTCTGTTCCTGCCGGAAAGGGAACTCAGACTACCACTTACAAGAGGTGGGGACTCAGGGCCCGCCCCCCGCCCCTTGCTATCAGCACTTTCGGCTGAGAAGGGCAGGCTACGCTGCTCAACCGAGGCGCCGCCTCAAGATTCGGGCAATTACCCACCCCTGCTCCTCCTCATACTCACGCGGCGTCGGCTCCCGCTGTCCCAGTTGCGGTATTGCGCGAAACGCCAAACCAAGTCAGTGCGTTTTCACCCACAAGACCCAGCGCGCCTAGGAGGGACGCCACCTCCAGTCACCAATCCTGGAATCGCACTCTCGTGGCGTCAGAAAGATCTGCCCAATAACAAGAGACTATCTAGAGGGCTGGGCGGAGGGAAATATTGAAAGCCGATTGGTCTTGCCAAGCCGGAAGTTATAGAGGAAGAACTACGTTGGAACCAATTGCGTGTCGCCTGAGGGAGTTGGCGCGGTCAGTGGTGGCGCTGAAGAGACCGGCTGCCGCCATGATAGAACAGCCGAAGCGTAAGGCCCCAGAGTTGCCGCTTGTCCCAGTCAAGCGACAGCGACATGAGTTGCTGTTGGGAGCAGCGGGGTCGGGTCCCGGAGCCGGGCAGCAGCAGGCGACGCCAGGAGCTTTGCTGCAAGCGGTAAGTGAAAAGGCAAGCGGCCTTCGGTCCTCAGCTCATCTTCCTCTCCCTTCAGAACGCTGCTTTGGGTGGCACTGGTCCTTCCCTCTTTGCGAGAGCGGAAAGAGAATCTTACTTGGAGTTAAAGCAGATAAACACAAAAGCGCCCGATATTCTGCCGGTGCGCCGTAAGTGTTCTCCGTTTGACGCCCGCTTGCAGCCTCTCTACTGCCCGTGAGGTAGCATTAGAATTAGAGTTAAGAGCTTTGGGCTCAAAACCGAGACCAGGCTTTCGCATCCTCAGTTCTCCATGGATCCAGCATAGAACGAACATTCAGAAAATTTGTAAAGTGAATGAATGGGTGAGGAAAGAAAGAAGGGAAATGAATGGTATTGTCTCACTTTGGGCAAGTTGCTTTTCCCTTTATTTAACAACTGACTAATAGCTAATATTTGTTAAATCTCGTACACGAAGTTTACGTTAATCTTGGTGACACCGAAGAGTTAGAAACTGTTATTCAATTTTGCCGATGAGCAAACCAACTCTTGTCAAGTAAGTGATAGAAACAGATTTTGAACTGAAAACCATGGTCTTGGCCGGGCTCGGTGGCTCAGCCTGCAATTCCAGCACTTTGGGAGGCCGAGGTGAGAGGATTGCCTGAGCCTGTGGGTTCGAGACCCGCCTGGGCAACTTGGCGAAACCTCATCTCT